CTCTACCTTCCCCGTTAAAATAAAACACACTTTTAAAATTCACGATTTTTTCTTTTTCATTCAATAAAAGTTAATATGTATATTGTCTAGATGAGACGGATACAAACCATCGAGCTCAACATTAATGTTAAAATTTATTTTAACTGACGAATTGGTAAATCTTTCACTTTCTTAATTTTTTTATAAATATTATCCTAATATTTTACAATTGCATTTTTTTTATGTGTTGTGCATTTTAGTAGATGTTAGAATTTCAATTGAACTATCAATATTTACATTAAAAATAAATGTTGGAAGGAAATATACTAAATATTTAAATGCACTCATAATTTTTTATTTTTTATTTTTTGATTTTCAGACACATGAGGGCTCGAACCTGAATTTTGAGTGTCATTACTTTAAGCCTCTTGTCACTGTGCCAACACCTTGTGGAATGCACTCATAATTATTGATGAATTGATAGAATATAAAAAAGAAAAAGTAGAGTAAGAATAATAGTTTTGGTTTTTATAACTATACTTCGTGGAAATTTAAATAATTTGGAATACCAAAAAGTATTGGTTTTTTAGTTTTATGTATAGTTATTATGATCCAATATAATTATAGTGTGTCTACCAAGCAATAAATAAATGCAGGGAGGGGAGGGAATTATTTCAAAAAATAAATAAATTGGAGTGGGCGGGAAGCTGAAATGCTTAAAAAGAAAACGAGTAATGGTAAAAATAATGTGAAACACAAGAATAATTGTGATTGCAAGTTAAAGTTAAAATATATATTAAAATTATATTAATTTCAAGAAAGATATATTTCTAAAAGTCAAAAAAGAATAATTTAGAAATTCTAAAGTTAAGTTTGTGAACTTAAAAAATGGTCTTTAAAAATAATAAATAATTATTAAATTATGTCGACTTACTATTTTATAGATGACTTATTGTTTTATAAATATAAATAACAATAATATTCAATAGATTTTCAATTTTCTAAAATTAAAATTTACATTAAAATATAATAAAAAAGTCAAAATAACAAGTGCAAGGTACGTATTAAAATACTAATTTATTAAAATATTGTAATTCTCAAATTATTTATAAAAATAATGAAAGTCGTCTCTTTAGACCTTAGTGACACTGTGTGTATGTAATTTTTTTTTCCTGGAGCATATTGTTTCTTCATATCTTTATTTTATTTTTAAATCTCATAGGTTGTTTCTCAAAAGAAAATATATGTGAGAAAATTTTTATTCTTTTTTTCAATTATTAGAAAGCATCTAGTTTTAAGAGACGACAGAAGAAGTTTATTCTTAAAAATAATAATAATAATAATAATATTATTATTATTATTATGAAAGAAAATGTGAGGAGATCTTGGAGAGAGAGGTGCATTCATTGAGCTCCTTCGTTAGATGAACTAGAGTTATTTTTTGCAAAATAAATATGTACCTGAAGATTTCCAAATAATTTCTTCTTAAGGGTGTCTTTATCCCTCCTTATTTTGTTTCTCTATATTATTGAAATTAAAAATAGGAGGATGTGGTATCTTGAGAGGTAAGGGGTGCACATCAACCATCTCCTATCTTCACGTTCATTATACTAAAAAAATTAATACGTGAAACAATTATATAAATTTCATAAAATAAATAACCTATGATAAATATATATTTTTTCAGAAAAAAACAAAACACGTGCCAACTTCTAAAACAAAATGCACTATCAAATTTATTCAGAACAAACAAATATAATATAAAATAGTCTTAGAATTCTTTTATAAAAAAAAAAAAGAAAAGGAAATAGTCTTAGAATTTAAAAACATGTGTTAAAATACATTATATGTGCAAAACGCTAAAAATTTCTAAATGTAAACTTTTTTAATCGTCATGGTTAGGTTGGCATCAATCTTGAAGTTATCCTATTAATTTATTTCACATATTCTTCAATAAATAAATTGGAATCTTTCAACAAAAAAAAAAAAAGAAAAAAAAACTTTGAAATAATATAATACTATCAATTAGCATGCAGCTACATGCCTCAACTTCTCCTATAAAAAGCCATCATTTCGCATCATTTTCCCTCACATCTACAAAAACTTCTTCACAAGAAATCAAAGGCTAATGGCTTTTCGCTCCTTCTTCTCCTTCTTCCTCTTTCTCGCTATCCTCTCGACGTCTCACTCACTACCCTTCGTATTTTTTCATGGTATCGAGTTTTTCTTTCTTGTTTCCTAAAAAACAACATAACGTTTGCTCTTGTTTCTTCTCACTTTTAGTATTCTTAAACGAATATTAAGTTGGATTGAGAAGGCTTTTTTTTTAACAACTTTTTGCTTTAAAAATATAGCAAAAATATATTCGAATAATTGCTTGACTGTTATTCTCTTTTTATGGATGATTGTTCATTAAGAATCAAAGTAGTTGTTCGTTTTACAACAATTAATATGTAAATTAATATATTATTTTTGTTTGTAGGTCTTGCCGATGAATGCTCGTCTAACAGTTCAATCCACATCGTTTCATACTTAAAGGAAGTTGCTGGTGTTGAAGGCGAATGCATGTATGGTTTTTATTTTTCAAAATATATTATTTGTTAAATCTATTTTAGTCCCTAGCTATACTTTCTACTTCATTTCTAATTTATTTTTTCAACATTTTAAAATATCTATCTTATTCCATAAATTTAAAAACATATTTCGGTGGTTACCATTATTTTATGGTTAATTATTTAATTGATGGATGATAAAATATAACCTTTGAAATATGTGTATTAACATGTGGAGATGACCCTGTAATAAAGTTAAACATATTGAGATGGGTATGGGTTGGTTCCTTTTTACATATATATATATATAAAGGAACCAACCCATTATTTATATATATATATATATATATATTGGCTGGGGTAAAAAATTGACAACTAAATGATAAGAATGACCAAAATAATTATTTTTTCGTAGTTTAAATATTAAAATAATCATTTTGAAATTTAAAGACTGTTTTGATATCTCACCTAAATTATTTTGCCACCACTTTTATAATTATTTGTCTATACCAAACGAAAATGGAAATTCAATCAAAATAAT